GCAACGTGGTGACGTCATTCGGGGCGACTGGAATCGATAAGAGAATCGTTTGCAAAAATGGCAAACACTTCCAAGGAACTGAAACAGTGGGAACCGGTTCTCAACAAGAACCGGGTTTGATACCCATCCCTAAGCACAACTGTACAGAGGGAGGGTTTACAGTTCATTTACACACAGGAAACTTTATTTATACAGTCGATTTACAGATTGATCGAACTTGTGTGTGTGTGTGTGTGGGGGGGGGCTTGTCTGCTGTGTGTATGACAGACGGTGTGTTAATCCTCCTCACAATGAACAGATGTACCTCCGGATTAACACACACAGAGTCAGCTGAGATCAGTGTAACACAGTAAAATCTCCTTGTTGAACACAACAGATTGGTCATGTGACCACATGTAGACCTCAGGAGCGGGTGAAAGAAGACTCACCCCTCTTCCCGCCCCATCCCCCCAAGCCCCTTGCCCAGTGTGTATGTGTGTGTGTGTGTCAGCCTACACACCTTGTTGTCCTGCACTCTGATTGGCTGCTGCAGATGCACCCTGAGAAGTGGGTCAAGGGGACTATGTCTACGTGTGTGTGTGTGTGTGTGTGTGTGTGTGTACACAGACTTCAAGTCAAGTGGCTTTATTGTCATTCCAACCATGTACAGTGGTACAGTACACAGTGAAAGGAGAAAGCGTTCCTCCAAGACCACAGTGCTACAAATGACAGCCAATCAACACAAGACAACATAAAGTGAAATGTGTTAAAACTGCAAAAAAACAAAACAAAGACAGCGCAACACCAGACAGAACAGAACGATACAGACAGACAAATCTTTGGGTAGAGCAGGGGTGTCCAACTCCAGGCCTCGAGGGCCGATGTCCTGCAGATTTGGCTAAATTACCTCCTCAACACGTTTTAAAGTTCTCCAGAGGACTGGTAATGAACTGATCGTTTGATTCAGGTGTGTTGACCCAGGGGGAGATCTAAAACCTGCAGGACACTGGCCCTCGAGGCCTGGAGTTGGACACCCCTGGTGTAGAGCAACTCGAAGACTGAAGAAAGTTTATAAAAAGAAACATACACACCCAGAACACAGAGTATTTTTAACTGTGTGTGTGTTGTGGTTTACTGGCGACATCTTCTGTGGAAAAAGTGAGGTCAGCACAGTGAACAAATGTGTGTCTTTAGCATGTAAGTGGTCTCTTTCTTGCCTGGTTTCTGCAGGTTCCAGTACCACTGTGGTAGTTGGGTTTCTCTCTCTCGCTTCTCTTTTTTTATTTATACAGCATCAAATCACAACAACAGTTGCCTGAAGGTGCTTTATATTGTAAGGTAGACCCTACTATAATACAGAGAAAACCCAACAATCATATGATCCCCCCCTGTAAGCAAGCGCTTGGGTGACAGTGGGAAGGAAAAAATTCCTTTTAACAGGAAAAAACCTCCAGCAGAACCAGGCTCAGGGAGGGGCGGGGCATCTGAATCTTAAAAAAGTTGTAGAGTTTCTGTTGGACTTCACAGAGTCCGGCAGCACAACAGATTCTGTTCTGTAAACTTCAGACTGTAAGAAGCTCGTTTACAGACTGTTTCCTGCTGGATTAATTGAAGGCTTTGCAGGGAGTTCCTGATAATAGTGCTGATAATAATAATCCAGCCTAGAAGTAATAAATGCATGAACTAGTTTTTCAGCGTCTGTTCATTGTTTCGAATTTCAGAGATATACATTTTCATTGTATACCAAAGAAAATGTCTTCTAATGATGCTGCCTAAGGGAAGCATGTATAATGTAAACAGAATTGGTCCTAGCACTGAACCGTGTGGAACTCCATAATTAACCTCAGTGTGTGAAGAGGACTCTCCATTTACATGCACAAACTGGAGTCTATTAGATAGATATGATACAAACCACTGCAGCACAGTACCTGTAATACCTACAGCATGTTCTAATCGCTCTAATAGGATATTATGGTCGACAGTATCGAACGCTGCACTGAGGTCTAGCAGGACAAGCACAGAGATGAGTCCACTGTCAGAGGCCATAAGAAGATCATTTGTAACCTTCACTAAAGCTGTTTCTGTGCTGAGCTGAGCTCTGAAACCTGACTGAAGCTCTTCAAATAAGCCTCTGCAGATGATCTGTTAGCTGTTTGACAACTACTCTTTCAAGGATGTTTGATATAAAGGAAGGTTGGCGATTGGCCTATAATTAGCTAAGACAGCTGGGTCACCCCATTTACACCCGTGTCTCTCTTTACCTGTGTGTCTCATAGCATGTAATGTCACCATCCACAATCGCTGCAGAGACAGTCTGGCGAGCTGTGCTAAGATGAAGCAGAAGGTAAGAGCAGTCTCTCTCTCTCTTCTTACCTGTCTGTCTGCACACACCTGTCCCAGTCCTGGTAGGCTACAGTCACACTGGGGAAAACAATGGTTCGCTCTTGGTTTACATCTTATATCAGAAAGCTTTGCTATCAGGGTCTTTCTAAAAGAAAGGTTACATTAACTTCAATTCAATTCAATGTTATTTACACAGCGCCAAACCACAATAGTCACCTCAAGGTGCTTTATATTGTAACGTAGACCCCACAATAATACATACAGAGAAAAGCCCAACAATCATATGACCCCCTATGAGCAGCACCTTGGCTGCAAGTGGGAAGGAAAAACTCCCTTTTAACAGGAAGAAATCTCTGGCAGAACCAGGCTCAGGGAGGGGCGGGGCCATCTGCTGCGACCGGTTTGGGTGAGAGAAGGAAGACAGGATAAAGACATGCTGTGGGAGAGAGACAGAGATCAACACATACATGTTAATCTCTGCGGCTTTGCAGCGGATGGTGCAGCCGCTGTGATAGGTGTCACACCACTGAGTGAAAAAAATCAGCCCTAACCTGACCGTCATTCAGTGCACCGTTCACAGTTAGAACAATGATGTGGTAAAACATATTACTTTCACATATTTATTAACTCTGAAAATCTGAAAGTCTACTGTTGAATTCAGTGAATGGAGCAAGATGCCTCCGTTCTTGCACAG